TTTGCTGCACCAAAATCATTTGCACTGAAATATTCGATAAAAATTCGACAACCTATGCAGTGTTATGTGTCATGATGTATTGTTCTAAAATGAAAACTCCGGAATGCAGTGCTGCGATACACGTTCGATATGGATATGTAAGCAATCATAACTGACTAACCGCTTCGCAACACCACCTCGTCCATAATCGTTACTTTGTCCCCCAAAAGGCCGCTGATAAATTTTCCCATCGGCCGTTCTCGAAAATGGCATTCCGAAATTTTCCAGTTCGATCACAACTTCACAAGCGTTACGTGTCAGATAATGTTGCGCATTTTGATCGCCTAACCAGTCACTGCCTCAAAAATTCATTCTTAACGGTAGATGAGAATATGAATATATATGTAGATGTTAAGGAAGTCACTGCCTTGATAAGGATTATTACCTTAATGAGAAATAATCACTGATAATATGGAATGACTGGGTGATTAGTATTGTTGAAAACTGAATGATATATTGAATGATGCAACAGAGAAACTAGTGATTCTGATTGAATGAAGATGTCTTAAATCTGGATCGGCAATTTTGTGTGGCCGATACCTTTGACGGTGTCATAGAAATGCCATTTCCAATCATCCGGATTCATACTCCCGAGCGCGGCGTTGATGCCGCCTTGTGCGGCTGTCGTATGCGATCTTGTCGGGAACATCTTCGTGACGACCGCAGTCTTGTAACCAGCCTCACCAAGACCCATCGCTGCACGCAATCCGGCACCACCTGAACGATTGATATGTTCTCAATGTTTCGCTTTCGCTTCAGAACAATCTATGATTTATGCTGCCTGCCATTTAACGCCTCATTGAAGTCACCATTATCTCACTTTCATACGAATCTCCTAATCATCTGCCGTAATAATTACGCAATCACTACTAATACGATCCTCATTCAAGGCTCATCTAATGATTGCGATAAATCAGATGATCGATGATTGAGGTAATGCAAGACCTGCACCAACGATAACCACATCATAGGCATGGTCGATCACTTTGTATTGTGCCGTTTGCGAAGTTCTACTCACCGCAAAGCGATTGCCACTACAGACGGACAGCGCACGTCTTGAGCCAGCTCGGCATGCCAATCGACGAATTGCACTCAGCATTATTACTGAAATTCCTTCCTCTTTGAGCACATCCTCAAAATGTTTCTTAAAAATCATTTAGATAACGTGCACTTTCACCGTACTTCTAGTGCAGCGGAGTTTCTCTACATAAAAGATCAATGCGCTAAACCAGTGGTTCTCATATGGGGTGAAATTGTCCATTTTGGGTAATTTGGAGGTGTGAAAGGGTAATGGAGGAGATCGGTGAACTAGTATTTCATGCACTTGTTATGTTCTAATTGAACGCCATTGTGA